ACCATGCAGGGTTCTGAGGTCGCCACTCTGAGCCCCCAGATGCCTCCTGCAGCTGTGAACCAGCGAGCGCTCCCACCATGCAGGGTTCTGAGGTCTCTGAGCCCCTCAGATGCCTCCTGCAGCTGTGAACCAGTGAGCACTCCCACCGTGCAGGGTTCTGAGGTCTCCACTCTGAGTCCCCAGATGCCTCCTGCAGCTGTGAACCAGCGAGCACTCCCACCATGCAGGGTTCTGTGGTCTCCACTCTGAGTCCCCAAATGCCTCCTGCAGCTGTGAACCAGCCAGCGCTCCCACCGTGCAGGGTTCTGAGGGAGCAGGTGAAATACTAGAACTCAGGCAATTCTTTTCTAAAGTCCTTTAAAGGATGAGCCAGTCAGGAGTACAGGTGAGAGAAAAGAGAATTCAACTCCTCTCGGGATTCTAAATTTTAGTAAACCTTTTGGTTTTTTGGTAAGTAGATATTAAAAACACACTTGGAAGAAAAACACATAACTGCAGACAATGAAGCTTTAAAGGCAAACAAAGGCTTCCTCTGTGAATATTTGCATTTTTTTTTCACTCAAAGCTGATCATAGAAAACTCAAGTTACGGATTCTGTGCTCCCTCAGAACCCTGTGCCTCTTTGACCCTAGTAAGAGTTTGTGAAATCTCCATTTGGAAAGGCAAGAAGAAGCATAGAGCAGTCACCTAGAGCTTACCGGAGAATGACAGAGAGCCAGTGTTTATGAGAACAGTCACAATCACTAAGGACGGGGCACCCACTACTTGTCCACAAAACATCAGAATAGTCAGTTCTAAGTGGCAGAAGTTCTATGAGGCACCGGATCACAGCAAGCATAACCCATGAAATTTGATGAACTTTAAAATAACCAAATGTTTTAACATTTCTGAAATTAAGTCAAAAGCAAATAGTAATAAAACATTTGGATTTTATACCTAAAACTATAGTTTGTTTGGTACATACAAAGAAGTCTTTTGAAGAATTTTAAAGTTTTAATAAAAATGACTAAATTTGAAATATGCTTTGGTGGTTGAGCTGGAAGAATTATTTTCATGACTCAGTAGCCAAGGAAAAAGACATATAGCTGACCCTTCAACAGCAGAGGTCTGGACTGCATGGGTCCAGTGAGACACAGGTTTCCTTCCACCTCTGCCCCGCAAACAGCAAGATGTCCTCTCCTCCCCTCCCCCTGCCCCTCCCCCTCTCTCTGCCCCTCCCCCACCTTGACGCACCCAGTGTGAAGGTGAGGACCATGAAGATCTTTGCAATGACCCCTGTCTGTTTAATGACTGGTAAATGTGCTTCCTCTTAATTTTCTTAGCTGCATTTTGTTTTCTCCAGCTTACTTTAAGAATGCGGCATATAACACAGGCCACCCATCTTACCTGAATTCTTGTTGGTTTTGTTCTGTCGACTTTTAACCTGCTCAGTCCAGAGGGTGGGATATCGAGACGCGATATCTGGGGAACCACAGGGAGATGGTGACTGTTTTTATCTCATTATGAAAGCACAAAGTTCTGCAATTAAACATTTCAGCAAAATAATTTGATAAAATAAATACACTTTGTGATTTTTTTAAAGAAATTGTTAACATTATTATATGTGTGAGACAAAGAAAATAATAATCTACTATTTAAGATATTATTTTAACATATTTTTCTTTATCCAGAAGTATAATTAAAAAGCTATTTGGATCCAGACACGTTTTACTTTAAAATAGTTGGGTTTTAGAAAAGTATTCCCAGGCACAAAAGTATACCCTTGTGTGGTAAGGACGGTGACTTGCATATCACACAGGGTTTTTACTCAGCTAAAAAATACATATTGCTGCTGGATGTAATATGTGTAACTTTTGCCTAAAACTTTCCAGGAACACATTTTTTGTAGTAAAATTATTTAATAAGCAAAATTGCAACTGTATTCCACTGGGTCACTATTACGCCTCTGAGAACAGAGACCATGGGTTTGACCGTTTGAATTTCCATCTGCCAATTCCACCCACATGGTGTGGACAGATGACCTCTGTGACATCTCGGTGGCCTGGCACTGGGAAGGCTGATGGGTAACAGTGGCGCTCACTGTGACTCACGCAGTGCCAGCGAGCTGTCAGCCATCAGCTTCTGTTATCATTGCTACCTTCGAGGCCCCATCCGACTCTACATTCCAATCTGTGATTTATTTATAACATGTGTATTTTATACTTTACCTTCAAATCCTGCTCCCCTTTAACCTGAGAATCTGTCATACATTAGCAAATACCTAAGACAGCTTCTCAAAGGTAAAAATTGGACATCTATCCTGTTACGACCACTTAGCAAGCCGGGAAGTGTTAACCGGGAAGATGGCATAGGTGACCACAGCTTTTTGAGTTCAATTACATAGTTTATAATTTATATTATCATAATTATAAAATGTTAACTCAGAAATGTTTGTTCAAAAAGCAAAGCCATCAGTGCTCTGCTATGGAAAAACACCACGAGGATATTTAAAAGCCCCCAGACCCAAAGCCATCAGGACAAACAGTGGGAGCCTCATTAGTTGGAAACAGCCAAATGCAACCATTTCTATCCATTACTTGCTGTGCTGTCTGTATTTAAGGTGTACACGGTGGTGCTTTGACACACATGGACATGGCAAAATTACTTCTGCCAATTAACATGCCCATCAGCCAGGCAGCTGCCCTCCTGTGTGAGGGTCAGAAATTCTTGGGATAGGAGACATGGTCATCACTGTATCCCGGTTCTGCCCTCTGCCTCCCGCTACCTTGAAATCACCGGTCCCTTCCACTCTGTCCAGGGGCTCCTCTCCCCCTGCGTCTGCCTGCTGCAGGACACTGTGCATCCCACCCCCTCCCCGCGGCCTGACCTCCCTCACCCCCCGACCCTGCAGCTCACCTTCCTCATCCCCTTGAGGGTGTGTCTCCAACGCCGGAGCTGCGGCATCATCTGAATTCAGAACGGAAAAGATTTGCAAGGAGACTACAATTATGAGAGTAAGTGACGTAAGTGTGCATACCGGATGGATGTGAGGATCTGCATGCAGCCCCTTCCCAGTGTCACCAACACCCCCCACCCCAGCACAGGCGTAGAGGCCCAGGCTTGAACGAAACAACACACTGGCACTTTGGGGAGCTGCCACTTAGGCCAAAACAAAGTTCCAGGAGGGAAATGTTCAGTGAGGCTCTAAAGGAGGGGAGCCAGTGACAGGGCACAGGGCAGACAAAGCACAAAAATAATTAGGGAAGGGAAGCCAAGTCAGAGAGGCCGTGAGCTCTGGTCACCAGGGGTCGTGGGCCAGGCTGGGGCAGAGGCTGGAGGCCTCACACTGCACACACCAGGTTTGCCCAGGTGGGAGGGCACAAACTAGAGTGCAGGGACACACACCTGCAGGCCTCCTAGAAGGATGCCCATGAAACCCTGAGGCCGTCTAGGGGGCTACAGGGGCCAGAGAATGGAGGGAGGCATGCAGTGGGCTCTGAGGACCTCCACAGCCACCTCAGATGCTACACACCTTTCACACAAATAGTCTTGTGAGTCTTGTGTTAATTAGTCTCAAAGCACACTTTGTGAGGAGCTTGGAGACCTAACAGGGCCACCAGGAGGCGGTGACAAGGCCCTAGTGAGCTCCCAGGAACCACCCTAATGTTTTTTACCTAAGCTCGATCGTGTGACTCCTTGAAATACAAGGAAAGAGGAGAGCTGCAGGGCTGGTGAGGCAGCTAAATTCGCAGCTTCCACAGATGCCCCAAGAACAAAAATGAACTTTCTTATAGAGATTTTTTTTTAAGGGAAAACCAAAAATGGATTTTTAAAAAATCATCAGCACTGCTCAATCTCTTGAAAAAAAGTTTGTTAACTGTCAAAATGCTGATGAAGACATAATATCACTTGTTTGAAATGACCAGCTCTAACACGGAAATACCCATAAACTGGAAATGTTTTGCTGTTAAATATTTTTAAATATTTTGCAACTTTCTTCTAAGAAGATGCAATGAAATGGTAAACATTTAAAACATATTTAACATATTATAGGTATTAAGGAAACATAAGAAAACGTCTTAAAAGATCATGTTTGAAAGTTTTTGTTTTTGTTTTTTTGCAGTTTCTGGCCAGGGCTGGGTCTGAACCCACCACCTCCGGCACATGGGGCCAGCATCCTACTCCTTTGAGCCACAGGCACCACCCAATGTTTGAACATTTTTTTGAATGATGGCAATCAAATACATTATTTCTCATGCACATTTTTGCTGAGGCCTAAACAGGCCTTAAAGTTACCATCCCATTCCTAAATCGTGGGGCTGTGCCATTCAGGAAACTCAGCTCACTAAGTATGAGTTAGTCCTCCTCAGAGGGGAGGACAGAGGACAGTGGGGAGTGACCGGCCTCACCAGAGGTTACCTCTGTCCTTCCTCCAGCAGGTCAGCCTGAGGCCACACTCCACACCCTCATCCCCAGAATAGCTAATCCCAACACAGCAAACCCACTGCAGCCACCAGACTCAGGCTTAAGAAGATAAAGCAAAAGTCTTGGAGAGCACAAGCTTTCTTTCTGTGTTCCCACTGTTAGAGTTTGCTGAGAGTCTCATTTCACTGGGGATGAGCTTTGTTGCTTAATTTCAAACATTCCTGCTGTATGTGTGTGTTTCTAAACCAAGGGCTTCAGTGAATGAGACTTGTTCTCTGCTTAAATTCACCTTCCTGCCCGTGTACTAATTGCCCAGGGGTTTTTTATAGTGGGTATGACGTGAACTGTAATGAGCTCATTTTGCGGTTGAAAACTGAGGGCCAGTGGAACTGGGACATGCTCTGGGAAGAAAGATGTTTCCTCAGCGAGGAGGCTGGCTCTGCCCCACGTCACACCTGGTATATCCTTCCTTTCTCAGGAAACTGCTCCCCCCTCTGAGGCCCCAGTGAGTGAGCGCCCTCCACACGGGCTGGCTTCTGTCCACGTGTGTCTTCATGATACAGAGACCACTTTACAAATGCGCCCCAGAGCAGGGACGGTCCTGACAGTCGCTGTGTGCTTAGGAAATTGGACCGCATAAAACTGTTGGCCTTCACATTACTTCTCTTATTACTGGGTACTAGAACCTACATCAGGAATAAGAAAAGCATCTAAGACCTTGGCACTAAAACATAATTTCATTTTGTTTTAAAAATAATCTTGGACTTTAAAGGTTGATATGAGAGGAAGGCATAAACGTGTCCCTGAGATGAAAGGCTCGTTGGTAAGGCAGGGTAAAGGCCCAGGACGGGGAGCAGGTGCCACTGAGACAGCAGCCTGGAGGTGTGAGCGGAAGATACTTAATTATCTCGGCTGTTCCTATCTGTGCCACCCTCAGAGGCAGTGACTACAGGACATGGGAAAAGCATTCCTGCTTCTGAGGAGTGGGTGGGTGGAGGATTCTGTGTGGAGCAGGGCGCAGAGCCTGCCAGCTCCAGGGTCCCGGCTCAGATGCTCCAGCTGGCGCCAGGCAAGATCTACACGTAGTCCCCACCCAAGCTACGTCGGAGAACCCTGATGTGGACCCAGGGAAACTGGCAATGGGCTGAAGGAATAAAGAACTGACAAGCTATATCACTGGGCCCTCAGTGTTCACACTAGCATGTGTTTAAGTTTTAACTTTGAGAAATTATTTTAAGGCAAGGCTGGGTTGGATGTTATCTGTCACCACAGAAATTCATTTGAAGATAGCTACCTGTTTTTCCTGTGCCTTCCCGTTGGGGTAACTTTTCATTTACGGAACCTAAGAAATGAAAATAAGAAATGAAATTAGTTTGGAATATCAAATGGTTATCAAAAATTAAATGATACAACTATTTTGCTTCATTTTGAGTAAGGAACAAGGTTTTGACACTTTCTAGTTAACTTCTGTAAGCACTCAAATAGTCACCTTACGTCTGGGACCCAGACTAAGAAACAGAAAATTAGACTCCACTTCTGGTGCTAAGTGGTGAATGTGTACATGAGGCCTTCCCCACGTGTGACAGTTCCTTCACCAAAAAAAGTCACCTTACCACAACTCACCATGCTGGGTACTGAGCAAATTAGGTGAAAAACGAAATGTTTTTTAAAATAACAAAATGTTATACAGCTAAAGACAATTAAAAACCCTGGTTTCATCTTGATTCTGATTTATAGATATGAAAATTGGGAAACTACAGGAATACAGGAATTACACTAACTATAATAATTTGTACCAGAATTTTAAACATTTATATGATACCAGAAAGGTTTATATTATAAATGCAAAGTTATAGTTTACTTTCTTTTCCAATAAGATATTTCTCTTTTGTTTTTCATACGTAAGAAATGATTTTGAAACAACCAAGTGTCTCTTGAAAACCTGCTCCGTGATTCAAATATTTTACAACACAGAATTCGAAGGAGATCTTGGTAATATGTTCCTTTCCTCTTCCAACCAACTAGCTTGAAACAAAAAGACCTCCCTAAAATCTACTGCCTTGGCCTCCAGCCTCGGAAGACAGCTGACATGACTATCCCGAGTCAGTATGGGCAGAATCCAGCTGCAAAGGACAGCTCTTCTCTCCACGCCTTTCGGGAGATAGGATTTGCTGAACTTGAAAGTGTCTGTAGCCGGCCTGGTTCCAGGACACAGGTGCAGGACGGGGGCCTAGACATCAGGGGTGACATGTGCAATGCGGTAGGTGGCAACCGCTCTGCCAACCACGACCGGTGGCACCTTCAGCAACCGTCTCCACATCTAAGGACTCTGCTAAATGATGTTCCCCAGGTTCCTGTTCTGAAGGACACATTTGATTTTCTTCCACCATGTCTCTCCACACACCACGCAGGGACCAGCCAGAGGGCTCAGTGGAGAAGGGTGATGTGGAAGGACAAGGATCCACTGCCCACGTTCCTGAATACCCAGATCAAAGGATCCTCCAGACCAGAGGCCACAAACCGCCCCTGCCCTGTGCTGAGCGACCTCCGCCCCAGCCAGTGTGGAGAGGCACTCAGAGCTACCCCCAACTTCTTACCCACCCTGCTCCTGTCAGATACAGAGGGGCTCAGACACACCCTCTGTGCCCGTCTCAGGAGCAAGAGGCTGGCATGGCCACACTGCTCATACAGGACATTCCAGATGGGGCAGGTGACCTTTCCCTCAGCCAGGGCTGGGAGAGGTGCTGGCAGGCACTGGTGCTGGTACTGGTCCATGACCATTCCCAGGATCATGCTGTGTATTGGGACAGGGCTCTCCCAGCAGGTCCCAGGAGGGTATATCAGTGCCACCTGGACACCTGCCATAGCCACAGGCCTCACCCCAGACCTGATGGCTCAGACCCTGGGGTGGGGCCAGCAATCCAGACTGCTACACAGTGAGATTCAAGGAACAGTGTCCAGGCAGGGCTGGGCTGTGCCCTCTCAAGTCCTCCTCCTTCCACAACTGTTATCTCCTTAGGGTGGTCATTGTCACCTCCAGGAGCTGGCATGCCCCAGCCCTGCCCTGCCATCACCTCCACCCTGCACGTCTCACTGGCAACTTCTGCATCCGTGGGTGGAGAAACCACACACCACACAAACCAGTTGATTTTCAAGGAACCTGTGTGGTCTGTGCAGCCCTGGTCTTTACTCATTGTGGGTCTAATGATCCTGGCTTTGAATAGTGGGATTCCTGGTTAGAGGTACGTCAGACCAAAGCAATGTTCCGAATTTCTTAATTTCTAAGTTGAGACTCTGATTATGCCAGATATGAGCATTTACTTCTCTAAAATTATAAAACAAGAAAATACATAAATCATAAAGTATTGTTTACAGAAGTCAAGGGACTATTTCTGGATGAACTTTTGGTGAGCGTCAAATCTAACACTTGTGCTTTACGCACATTTCCACATCAAGTCTCACGTATTTCAGTGGAGGGACAGCAAGTGAGCGCAGCTCTAGCTCCCACAGAAGCCTTGCACATTTTAATAGTTTCACACCTTTCTGATGTGTAACTATTGTAGTTACTCACAGAGGAACAAAACATGCTATATGCAGGGCCCATAGCTCAGGGGGTAGGGTGCTGGCTACATACACCAAGGCTCGTGGGTTCAAACCCGGCCTGGACCAGCTAAACAACAATGACAACTGCAACAAAAAAAATAGCCAGGTGTTGTGGCAGGCGTCTGTAGTCCCAGCTGCTTGGGAGGCTGAGGCAAGAGGATTGCTCGAGCCCAAGAGTTTGAGGTTGCTGTCAGCTGTGATGCCACAGCACTCTACCGAGGGTGACATAGTAAGACTGTCTCAAAAAAAGTGCTATTAAAAAACTGTAGTATCTGCCTGAAAAATAATAAAAATAAAACGTAAAATATTTGTTTTTATATGCATAAAAGAACTCTGAAAGGACACTTCCAATCTTTAAATGGAGCTATATAAATTGGGGCCATTTACTTTTTAAAAGACCTCTTGATTTAAGAAAACATCATCGAATATCAGAAAATATGAGAGAAAAGTCTTGTGTGGGCTGAGGATGGTAAAAGAAGGTTTATAGGGTACTTGGTTAAGCTAATGTGGGCTTTGTTACAAATTAGCCACTAAATTAAAAGTACAATAAAGTATAATAAAGGCACAGATTATACTAAAAATGCAAGTATTAGGCTCTGGGAAATAGTTTTTTTCCTGAAAAGTAGTACAATTAATAAATATTTTTCTTGAATAGTAAAATAGTAACAGCAAAATATTGTCCATCTAGCTGGGTGAAGTAGCTCCCTCCTATAATCCCAGCACTCTGGGGGGCAGAGGCAGGTGGATCCCTTGAGCTCAGGAGTTTAAGACCAATCTGAACAGGATCAAGACGCCATCTCTAATCAGGCATTGTGGTGAGCACCTGTAGTCCCAGAGGCAGGAGGATCTCTTGAGACCAGGAGTTTGAGGTTGTTGCCAGTTATGATGTCACAGCATTCTATCCTGGGTGACAAAGTGAGACTCTGTCTCAAAAAAAAAAAAAAAAAAAAAAAAAAATATATATATATATATATATGTATGTATATATTGTCCATTGGAGAGCTGAATATTTCAAAGCTAAGTCAGAGTTTCAAAATAAAGTGGAGCAGATAAAGTCTGGGCCCCCATGGGCCACTGAGCCCCGAGAGCACTGGTGACCCCACCCAGCCAGGGCCGTGTACCTTGGGGCTGGGTGGGGCAAAGCAGGGTCCTCTCATTCTCAAGAGCTGGTCAAGTGTCCTGTGTAGATAATAACCACACCCTGTGGCGGGCTTTTTCTTTAACATTTTACTTTTTTTAAAATTCCATATCAATTAAAAATCTTAAGAAATTTCCACAATCAGGAACTTTTCTGGGAAATGGTATAAATCCTGCCCCAGCTGTATCCAATTACTATTGGTCTCATCATGAACATGAAGTTCTGTCAATATTAAAAACATGTTATAAGATGTGTTATTGGGTAAAGTAATTCATATTTTTCTCTAAAATGTCATAAGTTTTTTTAATAGACAAAATTCAGATTATGTTTTTCACAAGGTTGACATTAGAATCTGATTTCCAAGGTTATCAGTTCTCACGGTTCTCACTTCCATGTGGAAAGAGGCTGGCTTTTCAGGGCATTTTCTGCAGCCTGTTAAAGTTGTTGTTTTTCTTTGCATTTCCTTGTCAGGATGTTTGAAATATTTTAATAGATGCTGTCTTTTCAATAAGAGAACTGTTCAGCCTAAAGAGAAAGCCATTTTGAGGAGAAACAAACAGATAAAACCAAGTTCCTACTAACATTTAACCTTTCCAATCAATTCAAGCAAAGCAACTTGAAGTCTGCATTTTAACAATCTTTATAAAGGAATACTTCAAAGACCTCTGTAACTAACCACGGCTATCTTGTTAATTTCAATATTTGGGAATTTAATCTATACGTTTCTTTCAAGACCCTCAGCTATGTCAGGGCCTTAACATTGTGCCAAGGAAATTCATGTGAAAAGTGAAAAATCCAATTAGCTTCTCCTTACAAATCAAAATTTCTAAGAAACTATTTAGGGTACTCCTACAAACCCCAAATTCCATCACTTCAGATGGAGGCCAAGTCCAGAAATCACAGTTAATGTAGATCATGTAGCTAAAGATAGTCAATCTAATTCAAAGTCCTCTGTCACTTCCAGGGGGGCCTCCCCCAAACCCAGGTCTAGAAATCCCTGGATAAGTGATCACCACACCCACGAGCAGACTCACATTTGGACCACGGGAGTAAACACCTGGACAGACCAGGACCTGCTCACTCCCGTCACAGGTAATGCAAAGACTTCAACACCAAACTGTAAATTCTGATGTTATAAATTTTTTTAGGAAGCAAACAGGGACAAATAGAAGAGTCCCTGTCCCACACTGTGAGAAAGTTGCTGACACATTTGTACAGTTAGGTGGGGTCCAGCCAGACAGTGTTCGCTCTACAGGGACATCCCCTAGGCCTGCATGCACAGGGCCTGACCCTTGGTGTTGAAAGACGGGTGCCAGCAGCCACACCCCTGCTGCTTCTGTTCCCCATCTGTGACTTGGAATCTGTAGCTTACTCCAAACACACAGCTCCAGCTGGAATACGTAGGAAGACTTTGGATGCAGGAAGACTCCTGCCTGCAGGTTCAGCTGACTGTGTCTTCAACCACTTTGTACCTGTGCCAGGAAGACGCTTCTTGGCCAGGGTGCACAGTTGCAGAGAAGAGATGAGATTAAAACCCTGTAGAGAACAGGCCAACTACAAAAATCCTCCCTTGGAAAAAAAGGCCTTTGCTTTTATTAGGC